GCGCGGGGGCGAAGGAGCGCGGCGCGGACAGACCGCGGAGTCGGGCGGCCGGGAAGGAGGAGGCAGAGGCGAGAGGGAGGGGCGGAGGCGCTGGCGAAAGGATTTACCCGCGTAGGAAATTAGCCGGCTGGACAAACCCAGGGGAGCGGCGGGAGCTGCAGGGTGGTCCGGCGGCCGCGTCCAACGCGACCCGGGAAGTGTGACCCGCCTCGCGGACTTTGCCGGCGGCGCTAGACGACTAAGTTGAGTTGCTTAACCCGGGAGTGGTGTCCCTAGGGCGTGTCCCGGGCATGCGCCCCGCAGCCAGGTGCCAGAACGGTCTCTGGGCTCACCGGCTCACCACCGCTTTGGCCCAAATGAACGGGACAGTTAGTCTTGCTTTATGCCAGGGACAATCACCGCGGGCTATGGTGCCACGGGGTAGGGACGCTGCCAATCAAGTTGTGACGGGGCTCCAGAGTGGCTGCGCCCCCCTTCTCTTCCTGGCATTTGACCAAAGCAAGGAGGAGAAGGGTGAGCGAGGCCTGCACTGCCAGGGCCGCTGCTGTGGTGAGACACACAGCCAAGGCCACTCAGCACTTTCCGTGCTGGCCCCAGCTTTGCGATGGGCACCAGTTCCACCTGGTACATCTGCCTCAGGTGGGACAGGAGCCCAACCAGGAGGCACGTGGCCAGGTGCCCAGCTGTGTGGCCAGGAGCCAGCATCTCCATCTCTCTAAACCCGGTGAGCCCTGTCTGTAAAGTGGGGAAGGCTTATAGATGTCTCTTGCTCTGACTGTCCCAGAGTGATAGGGACTGGGGAAAGGGTTTAGAAATTTGTGCTTCCTTCTCGGCCAGCTTTGGTAGCCTGAGTAAGGGACCAGGTAAGCCTAAGTCGTTGCCAGGAGAATTCCCTCTCCACCAGCCCCCACCAAGGCCCTTTTATTTCTGCCCCACCCTACTGTACCAACTTTTCCTTGGGGAGGTTCCCACAGAGCCACCGGGAGATTGTCCCATCCTTTGGCTATTTTGGTCCGAAGACCCTGGAATTGACAAGCTGCCCCTGGACCAAAATAACCCAAGGAACAGCTGTCAGGGCAACAGGCCCCCAGAGACCCTAGCCTGGCCTGCTGGGGATTGGCAGGGCCGGGGATTCTGAAGCCGAGCGCTAAGCCCCTGGCCTTTTTCCAAAGGCACTGGCAGTTGATGCCTAAAAGCCCAGGGATCAAACACTGAGCCTCTGGGGCAAAGCCAAGGGCAGGAGCCTGGCTGAGGAGGAGGAGGGGAGGAGGAAGAGGAGGGCAGCTCTTCCCCTGCTTACTTCTCTATGGCCACCACGCCAGACCACTGGAGTCCCAGGCTTCACATTTTCAGGGCCCCCAGGCAGCCTTTGTTGTCCCCAGCTCCATTCTCGCACCCTGGAAGAGGCAGTGGTAGGCTGGAGCTGGTCTGAAGGCACCCAGATCCGTCAAAGCCACCTCAAAAGATAAATAACAGGAAACAAGGGAGGCAGATCTTTTGCACAAAAAGAAGGGGATGAAAAGATGGAGGGGTAGGAGGAAGCAAGGGAAGAAGATGAGCACAGAATTAAGGTGTATTGTGCGTGCGGCCAGCTCCCTATGGGGAATGCAGTCATCACGTAGGACAAACACATACTAGTAATCAGTTTTGTTTTTTATTTTAAGAAAGAATATGTTGTTGGGGCATAGGCAGGTGGTGGACTAAAATTCTGCCCTCCCAGCACTCTGCAGAAGCTTCCTTGGAGAATTCCTTGTTCCCCTTTGTGCCCTCAGGCTCGGTTCTGCCTGCTAAGCCCAGTACTGAGGGCTTCTCTTTCATGGTTTGAGCCTTAATGTCCTGACCCCTGCCTGTGTTGGGCTCCTATCATGCATGTGTGTCCATGTGCCAGTGCGTGTGAGTGTGCACACACAAGCTCTCCTGCCACGTGGTCTGATGCACACGGATCAGGCCCCTGCCTCTGGACCTAGTCCCACTGCTAGCCACAGAATCTCCCACAGGCCACTTGGTTTTTCTGCTGACTTTCTAGCCTGGATCCCTTGAAGAAAAATTCTCCAAATTTCCAAAATGGCCAGAGGAAATTAGGCCTTTTCCTGGGAGGTGGCCACCCAGAGCAAACACTGCAATTCTTGGCAGTGAAGCCAACAAGGGCGCTAGCTCTTTTGTAGTAGGAATAAACTTTACCTAGTACTTGTTGGTGACAACACGAATGAAAATGGCATATTTCTACCTAATGTATGCAGAGAATTTAACTAACAAGGACTTGCAAGATGGGACAGTGCTTGGTAGCAAAATCACAAAAAGGCTTCTGGTAGTGGAACTGCTGGGAAATAACCATCCTAGCATTGATTCCCTCATCCCGATAGGAGGTAGAAAGCACTTTCCTCTTTGCCTTGCACGGACAAGGTAGGGGCCATGTGGGAGTCATTTGTACAGGAACACAATTTGAAATGCCTGGGAGAACATTCGCATGTAAATGTGCCCACAAGTCACCCCACAGCAAAAGTGCCCTGCTTTTTGCTTCGATCGTCCCCCAAGTCCCTTGGATTCAAATCTATGTTGTTGTTGTTTTTTTCATGAATACCAGCATGCACAGTCAGAGCTGGGGTACAAGGGAGCAAGCAGGTCCCCCAGATTCTAGGACTCCTGTCCCTGAAGAAAGCACAAGCTTTGCCACCTCTGATTTTTTTTCCCCACAGCAAGAAGCACAGAGCCGTGACCTCGGCAAGGTCACACCATGAGTCAGTGATGGGAGCTGGAAATAGAACACAGGCATTGCGAGTCCCCACCTGCACCACTTACCCCCTCGCCCGGCAGCCTCCCCTGGAGACAGCCTCCCGGACTAGAGGATAGACGTGGCAGGCAGAAAGACAGACAGATGAGCGACTCTCCAAGCCTGCACTTTGCTGGCTGGGCTGCTTCATTTATTTTCAGGGCAACATACTCAGCTTCCTGTTCAAGAGGCTCTGAGCTGGGATGAGCCACATGCCCGAGGATCCGATGCTTTGGAAAACCCACTTTATGCCTCCTCCAACTCTGCCCTCACCCTGTAATCCTCACTCCCCCTCCCCTGTGGTCCTCTTGCTGTCCTGTCTTACTCTAGCCTTGTCTGATTCATTTCCCACAAATTGGAGGTCTGGACAGTTATGAAGGTCCCTGGGAAATCAGTCCCCACAGGGCCTGGACCCTGGAACAAAACCAATTCAGTAAGAAGGCTTTCTCCCCTTGGTGACCAGTCTGACATCCCAATGAGGCTAAGGCCCTGCGCTGAGACCAGGATAATGTCAGTATGCTACATGCAGGAGTGAGAGTTTTGGTGGGAAGCTTCCTTTGAATAAGAATGTGGCTGGCGTTTGGTGATGTCATATGGGCTACTGGTGTGAATCACTTCTGATCAGTGCCAGGCTGCCTGAGAAGAAGAGAGGGGACATCCCTGGACCTCTGAAAGGAGACACGCTGACTGGAACCCTCTCTTTGCTCCCGAGACAGCAGTGTCTCAGTCTACTATCAAATGGTCAACCTCTAGCTCCCACCCAACTGCCCTTTGGGGCTGCCACCACCAGGGGGCACCACCCGCTGCCTGCAGTGGTCAGAGCCTGAACCCAAGCACCAGTGACCGTAGCCGTTAGGAACATGGATTTGGAGTCTTGCAGACCCGGACCCCATCCAGGCTGTGTCACCTGGAGCAAGTTCCTCCGTTTCTCTAAGCCTCAGTTTTCCTGTTGACAAAATGGGATCAGCTAAGGGCCCACTCCACTGAGTTGCTACAAGGATTGCATGGGACAGCTACGAAGCGCTTAGTGAGAATTTTGCACCCTAGTAATTGAAGAAATGGTAATCGCCCCATGGTTTATTTACTTTTCATCTATAGATGAAGATCTTGTGTAAATCCTTACCTGAAAAAGTCTTCAGGTAAGTTTCAACGTTGACCATTTTACAACTTAGTAGCAATGCATTGCTATTCTAGGTCAAGTTTTCGGAACACTGTCCTGAACCATTCACTCTCTAACTATGGGCCACCTCAGCCAGCCAGACAGGCAGGCAGGCAGGCAGGCAGGCAGACAGACAGACAGACAGACAGACAGACAGACAGACAGACAGACAAACAGACACCTCTGCTCTATTCCTCTCCCTCTGTCCCTCTCTCCCTCTCCAGCTCCAGCTGCCCTTGTAGCCACAGCTAGAGGTGACTATTCTCTCTGGCCCTTGTACCCTGGCCTGCTTGTCCTGAGCACGGGCAGGCCAAGGAGGCTGAGGGCAGGGGCTGCTTTCTTGGCCTGGCATGAGGAGATGTCTGCTCTGTGCTGCAAGCCCATGTCCTAGTGCTGGCCAGCTCCCTGGAAGACATGTGGCCTTGGGCAGGACGGGAGTGGGGGGTGTGAGGATAATGTCCCAGGAGGAAGACAGAATCTCAAGGCACTGTTATCCCATGGGCTAGGGGCTCGTGGCCCAGCAAGCCCTGGTGTCATGCATCCCCATGTCCTCTTCTCTTGCCTCCAGTTCCGTCCATGGGCAAGGCCCTTTGCCTCACTTGTCCATGTCCACTGTTGCCTCTTTAGTCCAAAGCAGTGGAGCCACAGATGCTTTTAAGCCAAGGTGTATTGTTATAAATTGTTACATCTGGAGGTTGTTTGTTATACTGCATTAGCCAACTAATATACCTTGGCACTTGGAATAAAACCATCCCAGACTATGCCTAGTCTGGCCCTACCCAACTTCCCAACTTTGGATTCTTCTCTCTCTCTCTCTCTCTCTCTCTCTCTCTCTCCGGTACTAGAGTTTCATCCCAGGGTCTTTACACTGAACTACCTCCCCAGCCCATTTTTGTT